GATGATGATGGACATGTGGTCATACTGACAGTAGTGGTCATGGAAACAAGATGTAAAGATGGAACCAAATGCCCTGCATTCATATCCTGACTCCACCTTCACTCTGAGTAGTGTGCACCAGCCACTAACCCCTCTGGACCTCAGTTTCCCAAACCCTAAAATGGGGCTTTAAGAAGAAATCCCTGCCAGAAGCCCCTCTGTGTAAAGGCTCCAACTGGGATGCTGGTGGGCTGGGAACCTGCCTGAGTTGTCCCTTACCACCAGGCATAGGGACCAGGTGGGCATGGGGGGGGCGTGTTTGTTCATCCAGGTGTGGTCAGGGCTGACCTGCAGAGGGCACTAAGCACCAGGCACCTGGCAGTCTCAGGGAAGCCCCTGAGGTCGCAGGAGAGGGAGCTGAGACGCAGAGAGGGGGCAGCCAGGCGAGAGGCCTAGGCTCAGAGCCCATGCGCCGCCGTCCGCACAGAGGTCCTGAGGAGGACGAGGAGGACGATACGGCCCCGGGACCCCGGCAGGCCCCCGACAGCCTCTACCGCGTGCACATGCCTAGCCTGTACAGCTGCGGGAGCAGCTACGGCAGCGAGGCCAGCATCCCGGCCACGGCCCACACCGTCAGCAACGCGCCTGTCACCGAGTACATGTGAGGCTCCGGGGGGCGGGGGCCTGCTCCGGGGACTGTGGGTGCTGCTGACAGCCAGGGGGCGGGGGCTTATAGGGTGAGAGTGTCGGCCGGGGTGGGTGGGGGAGCGACTGGCCCAATCTCACTATTAGTGCCCCTTGCTCCCAAGTCAGTCTCCTGGGTCAGGGGGCTGTGTGGGGTGGGGGCATGCGGTCAGGTGGGGGCTCTGTAGGTCACCAGGAAATGGTGACCGGGGGACACTCAGACTTGGACAATGTCCAGAGGCTCTCAGGCTCTGCTCTGAGCAGTGTGCTGAGTAGTGAGGGCAGGCCGGAGGGGAGTGAGTGAGTGAGTGAGTGAGTGAGTGAGTGAGTGTGTGTGTGAGTGTGTGAGTGTGTGTGTCGGGGCAGCCCTGTGTGCCTGCCCTCCACATCATGTTGGGGACAGGGGACCTGTCATAGCACCAAGTGGCCAGGATCACCGAGCCCTGCCTCCTCACCCTCCTCGCTCCCTACAGGAGCCAGAATGCCAACTTCCAGAACCCTCGCTGTGAGAACACCCCACTCATCGGACGTGAGTCCCCACCGCCCTCAGTAAGTCTTGGAGCATGGAGGGTGGGGGGAGGGGACCTCGTCTCGGTGTGGGGCCACCTGGTGTCTCGTCAGGGACTCAGTGATGCACAGTGAGGCTCAGGGCTTTCAGGGATTCAGTCCCCCGAGACTTGCTCTTTTGGCTGGACTCTGC